CAGGGCTTTTGGGAAGCATTGCCATTACTGCTGCCTATCAACAGCGGGGGAAAAAAGTCCAAGTGTTTTAAAATTGATCAAAATATTTTTAAAAATTATCAAACCTTTCAATTACCTTGAGACCCAGATCCGTTTCTAGAATTCAGCACCCATGCCCCATTAAATTCTGTTAAAAGGGATAATTAGGTGGAGACTGACAGTAGTTTAGAAAGTTCGTTTATCAGAAGGGATAAAGCCAACCTGAAACACGTTAATGTCAGGGTCTTAAAACTGGTGTTATTCTGTGCTGTTGTGCAACAAACATATCGCTAGCGGAAGGGACACAGAGTTAATCAGGATTGCTGCAGTAAATAATGTTTTGCTTCCTAAAGTCTGGCTAGGGTGAACAAATTATTTAGTTCTCATACTAGCTGAATTAAGAGCTTAAATGTATAAAAGTGCGTAAAAGGGTGTATCTAAGAATCGATAGTGGATCACCGAAGCATTTAATCACTGTTTTACTAATCCCCCTGCACTATCTGAACTCAAACTGACTCCTCACACTAAAATCAATGGTGCTAATATACTCATTAACGACGGCTCTTTCGCAGGAATGAAACCATCAGAGTTTGAAAAACTAACTGGGGGCAGAGGAGCTGAAAGCCGTGAACAGCGCATGGGCTTGTGCTCCAAGGCTTCCTGGGGGAGCAAGAAACTCTCTAAAAATTCCCTTACAGGAATTTCCACTGCAATCTTCTACCAAGGGTAAGCAGCTGTGACTCCACATATAACAGCACATCCCCAGGAGGGGACACCCGATGCAGGGACTGAACCAGGACCCGTGGATCTACAGCCACAGCTCCTCACTAGGGTGAGGCTCGAGAGCTGGCTTCAGTGCTCAGCGCTGCCCATGCCGGGGATTGCTGCACGTGCAAAGCGTCTTTGTTTCCCAATTCTGGTTCCGCTACCTCAGATCGCTCTGTTTCTCACAAGGCAGACGTTTCCCATCGGTTCAGGGGCTATGCAAGGCCTTTTGGGGCAGCTCTTGCCTTTGCATCCCACACTGGCTCTTATTTACACTCTTCACCAGCAGCTGAAGAACTTGCCGCATCCTCCTGCCAGGCTTCCCTGCACGCCTGTCTCAGCTCTGACCTGCACATCTGACACTCCTGTCCCGAGACTCATTTCTCCTAAGTCTGTCAGTTTGACCGTGATAGGTTCTGCTTGGCATCTACAGGCTCCAGACAGTCTCTCCCCAAAGGATTTTCTGAAATATGTTTAATTTCTGACCAGGGTTTCATCAGGCTGCCTGGAAAAGGATGTTGCTCAAAATTATTCAAAGACAGCATTTTCTTATTTTTTATGCAATTATTGAACAAATATCAGAATGTAAAATTGCCCCTGGGATTGGAAAATGGAATTAAATCTTCCAACAAACATGAGAAAATGGATACCGACGTCTCTATTAGCAACAAAATGTTTCATGCTTAGAAACTGGTAATCAAACACCCCTCCAGGGAATTCAGAATGGTGAGACAAAATGGTCTAAGACAGCATTAGAAAGAAAAAAAAGATATACATACGTTCAAGTGAGACACAAACTGGATGTGGGGTGGGCAGGAGAGCGTCCTAGTGTCGGTCCCACCTTGGTGCGTTCACAGGCAGTTCAGGAGGTCATTAGTGGAAAGCAACAGCCCAGATCCTCCGCAGTTCCCAACCGCACCGAGGCCAGCATAATCAGGCACAGGAGGTCTGCCCCGCGCAGGGTGCATCCTCCTAGCCGCTGGCGCGGCCACTAAGCTGTATCAACCCCTGCCAGCAGCGAGAAGGGCAGAGCTGGGACGTGTGGGGTGGCTGAGCTTCTTCTGCAAGCACCAAGCTCCAGCCTGTCTTGGAGGGCTCATGGATGGCACGGTTCAGACCAGCTTTGATGGCACTGGTTTTCACCAGCTGGGAAAACTGGTGGTCCAGCACTGTGTACGACACAACAACAAAATACTCCCATCTCACCCAAGCGATACAAGAACTGTCCCGGTGCACACGGGAACATCTCTGTTAGGGACGGCTTAGTGGTGGACTTGGTAATGTTAGGTTAACGGTTGGACTCGATGATCTGAAGGATCTTTTCTAACCTAAATGATCCTGTGATTCTATGATCTCCAGCGTGCTGCTTTCCTACAGGACACAGGATTTTCCCTGGGCTCCCTTCTCAAGCCACAACCCTGGGAAACAACCAACTCCCAGTGTAACAGCTGAAGAGCTGAAAGCAACGTCATCAACCGAGTTACATCATGCAGCCCAGGAGAAGGAGCACCGTTTGGCAGAGAGTGAAGTACGGGCGTGCAACCACACC